ATTTTCTGATGCTCAGTGTAGTAATATTGAAGCTATGAGTAATTGCAATTTAAAGACTGGGTGTGAGATGTCTCGCATCCGTTGAGGATAATTGGCTTCTGCTGCTGGGGAATTAAAGGTATAAGTGTGACACGCTGAAATAAACACATTACTTTTTAACAGGGGATCATTGATTCGGGGAAGAGAACACCATTGAATAAGTGCCTGTTGGTCGACAGGGGAGCACTTTCCGGGTTTGATTGTTGGCAAGAAGTAGCTGGTCTGTTTTTTGGAATGATTGGGCAGTTTTTGAGGTGGGATGATCGCGTTAGTGATTGAAGTCGGCGTAGGAGTTGACGTAGGTGGAGGTCGAGGTAGACGGGATTGGAGATAAGAGGTGTGGAGGCGAGAGATGCAGATAGAGCGGTAGAAATGGTAGATTTAGTGGCAATAGGAGACGTGTCGGTATAAGTAGTGGCATGGATCAGACACTTAAACGGGGTGAAGCAAGACAAAATAGGAAAAGTAGAGTGAGTGAGTGGGTTTAGCCTTACGCCGCACTCAGCAATATTCCAGCTATATGGCTGTGGTCTGTAAATAATCGAGTCTGGACGAGACAATCCAGTGATCAACAGCATGAGCATCGATCTGCGGAATTGGAAACCGATGTCATGTGTCAACCAAATCAGCGAGCCTGACCACCCGATCCTGTTTGTCGCCTCTTACGACAAGCATGGGTTACTGAAGATCAATATTCTAACCCGGACCTCCACGGGTAAGGAAAAGGAAGAGATGAACTTCCCAGCTTTATCATGACGGCCTGTAACTAAATGTTACATGGTCATGTTACAAAACAGAATGCACGAAACGACAAATGGTACATGTTACGATACACGACACGAAAATCCATAAAGGATACATGTTATAAAAAACATATTCCCCAAACATCAAGTGTGCTCTTTTGTGTACGTCAGTTTATATAATATTTAATTTCTTACACGACCTCATAGTTTGACTCAACCTTACATATACCGTCACATCAAGGCTTCTTCACACATATTTCACATAACATTACATGCCCACAGTATGTACACGCCTATAGCTTTGGTATCGTTATACGACCTTTCATGGTTGCACAGAGTACCAGGGGGCGGTGGGGTAGCCAAGTGGTTAAAGCTGAAGCCACGGGTTCGATTCCCCACATGATTGATTGGTTAGTCTGACCAGATGATATTCAAGCTGAGCCAAGAAACCCGAACGGTCACACAGGGACCAACACTGTTCGCTACATACGTCTCTTGCGTGTTGCGGGGCGGTGGGGTAGCCTAGTGGTTAAAGCGTCCGATCGTCACGCCGAAGATCAGGGTTCGATTCCCCATATGGGTGTAATGTGTAAAGCCCATTTCTGGTGTCTCCCGGTGTGATATTGTTGAAATATTGCTAAAAGTAAAAACCATACTGACTCACTCACTCTTGCATCTTGCGGAAGGTCTATTGACGCATGTCGACGTAATCTGTTGTTGTGTCTTCCCTTAGATGTGACAAGATCCGCTGATCTTGGTTCGAAACCAACATTTGCCCTGATAATGATCCTTGATTTGTAAGCTTCATATAATAGCTTTTGCTTTCCCAAAGTCGTAAATAATACATGACTGTATCCCTCTGTGACTTATTATTGCTAAAATCCAAACTCACTAACTCACAGACTATCGAGATAAACCGAACGTCCTGTAAATCGTTACACCTGTGTACGTTAGTGAATATTTTCTTAACTGTTTTCCTTCGATTCAAATTTCCCGGAATCATTTTGTGTTTGATTGTTTCCTTGTTATAAAGTATAATGTTTTATCTTCACAGGAATACCTGTCAAACCATCAGCATATCGGTGGAACAGACAGATTGCCCGGCTTATACAACACTGAACAGATCAATGATGAATTATTTTCGGATTTGATTTATCCGGACCAAGCCCTAATGCCGACAGTCCGTGCAGGCCCAAGTGAACAAGGGATAGACGAATGCCGATCTGGGAAAACGACCACACATGACAGATGTCATTTTGCCAGCACGTGACAGTGTGCCCATAACACCACGTGACTAGGTTAGAAAGTCGCGGGTAATGGTCAGAAAAAAATCCCATGTCCAGCTAAAATCGATTTGAATCACATTACAATTATTTGGCTTTATAGCTTATGTCATTCTCCTAACGCTTTGTGAAGCAATAAGGCACGGTCTATTTTTTTTTAATTCTCAACTCGTTTGAAGGTTGTCATTGTTTCTTAATTTTTATCTGTACAATTATATCATGTGCAGAACCACTGTGCATAAAAGTTGAACTTCAATTTTCCAAATGAACTTCAGTAAAAATATATGTCTTCTCAGCATTTTGTTGACAGAACCTCGTTTGTTAACTCCCACAGAGCTCTTGCATATTTAATGAAATACTGCCATTTGCTAAATGAATATCGAACAAATACACAGTATCAGGGTCATCTGTTAAACAAACGCAGATACTTCCATTTCCAAAAGAAGAGAATATATAACTAACCATTTTCTTTTAAAACAAAATTTATTGATTACCGCAATCTATACTTCTCATAAAGGTAAATAATATATTGGAAATAAAAACGATGTGTTGCTAGTGTTTAAAGGCTAACCATTTTCATTTGACATTTGTCCATAAATCGTCAGTGCTGAGACTCCGTTGCCACGATACGCGGCAATACTATCACCGACTGTTTCACCGTACAACAGCCACGTGTAAGAGTATCGTACAGCGGTGGATAAAGTAACTGAATGGGCTGTAATACAAAGTGACTTGTCATCCAATTTGTTTGCAACTGCGTCAAGTCTGGTACATCCTAATTTTTCACTTTCTTAAGAAATATTGATTTGTGAGTTGGCTTTCACTAAAGGCCTACATCGTTTCCCGACGTAAGGCATCACCATTCGCTAAAGGAGTACAAAGATGAATATTATTGGAGTGTATAACTGCTGTTATGTCATATGTTGTTGGAATTGGTGATTCCACACAAGACAAACTTCATCGCAGGTTCACATCTTCATCAGTGTGAGGAAACCGGAGACATATTTGTATTTAACAGATCCAACCTGTCCTATCAACGTCCAACAGGATTGAGCCAAATGTCTCGTCTTCGCTGTCTCACGGCGTGTTTGTTCATCTGATGTTAAATTGTGTTCATGATGCCTTCCCTTCATACAACAGCAGACGTCATATCTAAAGGCAACCAGTCACTACTTTCAACTTGATCTAACATTTGGGACACGCTGCTCAAACTCTAAAGTCTACTGTTTCTTCTACCGCTGTTGTGTAGCTCCGTCACGTCAACCGCAAAGTTAGTCAGGCCATTGCTATCGCTTCAGTTCATCTGTAGCCTGTTTCCATCGCCACATTGTAAAAGAGACTTCTATTATTCATCAAGTCTCCTTTAACCATGATTACTTGGGCGGCTAAACTGGCCTCGGTGCGAGGGAAGAGTCGGATCCTTACGTGTATATTCCTTTTCCCGATATTATTTTGCACATTCATGATGTATCGAACGGTTGAGAAAACCTGTCCGCTCGACAGCTTCACGGACGATTACTCGGGTTTTGGGGACCGGAAGCGGAAGTTGACCTCCCATGATGCATTTGAAGATTTGAAAAATGTCCAGGATGGGAATGCGTTAGATTTTGCAGTTCCGTCCGACGTCCTGGCTCTGGATTATCAGGCGGACAAATCCCATAGACATCATATGCAACGAATCATGTCTTCCAGTGACCGTGACTCGATGGACTGGAAGAAGTATCAGATAATTCGTCCACGGTATATTTTCAACTGCTCCAATATACACGAGGTGAAAATCAAAAAGAAAATTGGACACGGTGTTTCAAAACAAACGTTCCTTGGTGTGTACAAGGGCCTTCACATCGCGGTGAAGATGGTGACGCGTCACCTCCACGACGTCCGGAACTGCCTCGACGAACTGAAACGTCAGCACCAAGACACGTCGCATCGTAAAGCATCGTGTTATGTACATCCGACTATGAAATTAATGAAAGAGATTTTATTGTCGGAACAGATTGAACACAACAATATTGTGAAACTACTCGGTTATTGTGTCCGGAGCGAGGAGAGCGATTCCACGGATATTTCAGAACATGGAGTTGTTGGAATTTATGAATTTGGACACAGATTTGTGGTCGACAGTCTACAACTTCTTACTTGGCAAGATAGATTAAAACACGCTACCGATATGGCCAAACTACTTCAATATCTTGAATTCTCTCCTATCGGATCATTAGTAGTTCCCGATTTCAAGGAAGGGCATTTTCTTTTGGTGAACTCCAGCATCAAAATGATTGACCTTGACGATGTGAATAACCTTGAACCGCCATGTGGTTATTCCGATCACGTGACAGACCGTTCTGAATGTGATTATGGTCTTAAATGCCGAGAAGCGCAGTGTTTAGGCTTCAACGCAAAGACGAACTTAAAGAACATGAACAAATTGATTTTAAAAAGGCTTCTTTTTCCAGTGTCGTTCCCTGAAAATCTTATTCCTCCAATTGGGCAACTGAATGCCAAATTAGATTCTTTAGAAATTACAGCTAGTGAACTCCTTGATGCTTTGCGAAAATTGCATGGTGTCAAGAGTTCTTTGTGAGATTAGCCATTATCCATTCTTTGTTATTTGTATAGTGTGTAGCTGAGAGATTCCCACTACATAATGGTGTAGAGGGGAGCAGTGTTCATGGTTTCACGTTTAACAAATTTCAAGCCTGATTTACATAATGAGCGTTACAGAGTAGCACAGTAGCATCAGTATATCGCATGTCAAGTTAAAGGTACACACATCAGAACTGTCTGTACAACAACGTCAAGGAGTGCCAGACTGTATGTATGGGTGGGTGCGTGCTTGCGTTGGTGCGTGTGTTCGTGCGTGCGTTCGTGCGTATGTATGTAGTAATAATGTTCCTTGTAAGTCATGTGTCTTTCTTTCTTTTATTTCTACCGATAGCATGTAATGCCATTCTCGACTAGACTTTGCATCCGTGCAATGGTCCTTCTGAATGTAGATATTGCCGAAACGAATATGAAAGAAATTGGGTTTTTTTCGTCACATGGGTCATGTTGTATGTACTATATTTGAAAAAGTAAAGTAAGGTTGTGCATGAGTTTAGCAATTCATTCATCTTGTAAGGTTTCAACAACAACTGTGCAAGCCTTTGCACCAACATAGCACCATGACGATGCCAAGGATTAATATGCACATGGACTTGCAATAGCTAATCTATTTTAGAAATCATACTCAAAAAATAAATACTGACTGAGTTTGGTTTTACGCCGCTTTTAGCAATATTCCAGCAATATCACGGCGGGGGACACCAGAAATGGGATTCACTCATTGTGCCCATGTGGGGATTCGAACCCGGGTCTTCGGCGTGACGAGCCAACGCTTTAACCACTAGACTACCCCACCGCCCCCCAAAAATTAATAAGCGAATCGGTTCATAACATAACATAACATCATTATCCCGCCAGCTCCCTAGTCCTTCAACAACCCAATCATCCACGCCAACACTCACGTCCATAGCCACGCCCACGCCCACACCCACATCTATACTCACATCCACATCTATACTCACATCCACATCTATACTCACATCCACATCTATACTCACATCCACATCTATACTCACATCCACATCTATACTCACATCCACATCTATACTCACATCCACATCTATACTCACATCCACATCTATACCCACATCCACATTTACATCCACTTCCACGCCCTCATTCACATTATATACCTACATCCACGCCCTCATACACATCCACACCCACATCTATACCCACATCCACATTTACATCCACATCTATACCAACATCCACATTTACATCCACTTCCACGCCCTCAGTCACATATATACCTACATCCACGCCCACGCCCACATCCACATCTATACTCACACACATCCACATCTATACTCCCATCCACATCTATACTCACATCCACATCTATACTCACATCCACATCTATACTCACATCCACATCTATACCCACATCCACATTTACATCCACTTCCACGCCCTCATTCACATATATAGCTACATCCACGCCCTCATACACATCCACACCCACATCTATACCCACATCCACATTTACATCCACTTCCACGCCCTCATTCACATATATACCTACACCCACGCCCTCATACACAACCACATCTATGCCTACATCCACGCTCTCATCCACAATTATACCCACATCCACATCCACATCCATCCCCACACCCATATCCGCTACCACACCCACACCCACACCCATATCAACACCAACACTCACAACCACATCCCATATATAAAACCAAAATCCCAGCCGGTGTAATATATTACCGTTTTCACAACACGTGTGGTGAATGAAACTACGCGATCTGCTATTCACATGTGGTGTGTATATGGAATTTATTGTGATGTAAATGGCCCGTCTAATCACATCACTGGGCCACAGATGCATGTGGAGAAGTCATAATAACGTTAAGCTATCCGTATTTTGTCTGAGCTTTCTATAACCAGCCCGCCCTTGATTTTCATTCCGGCGTGAAATAATAGAAGGTTTTGGTTTCTAAATTTACCCAACCGTTATTGAACATTATGTCCCGATGTCCCCATTGCACATCTATTAAAAACCCATTTCATTTTCTCCGCATCTTCGTCATAAAGACGATGTAAAGACTGAACCAATGTATTTTACAAAATGAGTTAAAAACAAGCTTTTTGCCCCTATCTTTTAGTTTACATTCTTCCTTCATTTAAACATTCCGGGCCGTGGGATAGCTTAGTGGTTAAAGCGTTCGCTCGTCACGCCGAAGACCCGGGTTCGATCCCCACATGGGTACAATGTGTGAAGCCCCCGTTGTGATATTGCTGGAATATTTCAAAATGCAGCGTAAAACCCAACTCGTTGATCGTTCAGGTTTGGGATGAGAAACACATACCAAAATATGAACTGCCTCAGCAGTCTTGAAAGATGTATTATGGGTGATGAGTATTCCGGAATGTTCCAACAGATTTCAAGGGACGGCAAAGTAGATCTGCTTTATTGCATTTGCTCGAGGCCCGGGTTCTGTTCCAAGTAAAAACACGTCGCGAAACCATACACAGGCTAGGAAATAGATAGCATTGCATAAGTTGATTGTCATTGTTTTCCTTAGGCGTGTCTGGGATTGGACATCCCTTTCTGAAGCTAACCCCACGTACCAGACAATCAAATGAGAAACTAAACACGACGCAGGACAAGAGGGATACATATATAAATGTAGATGGGTGATTGATTGGTTAGTCTGACCAGATGATATTCAAGCTGAGCCAGGAAACCCGAACGGTCACACAGGGACCAACACTGTTCACTACATACGTCTCTTGCGTGTTGAGGGACGGTGGGGCAGCCTAGTGGTTAAAGCGTCCGATCGTCACGCCGAAGACCAGGGTTCGATTCCCCATATGGGTATAATGTGTAAAGCCCATTTCTGGTGTCTCCCGATGTGATAATGCTGGAATATTGCTAAAAGTAACAACCTTCTGACTCACTCACTCTTGCATCTTGAATTGCGGAAGGGCTATTGGTCCATGTCGACGCACTCTGTTGTTGTGTCTTCTCTTAGATGTGACAAGATCCGCTGATCTTGGTTCGAAAGCAAAATTCGCCCTGATTATGATATTTGATTTGTAAGCTTCATATAATAGCTTTTGCTTTCCCAAAGTCGTAAATAGTACATGACTGTATCCCTCTGTGACTTCCGAGTTAGAATTTGTCTTCAGCAACCCATGCTTGTCATAAGAGGTAACTAACGGGATCGGTGGTCAGGCTTGCTGACCTGGTTAACACATGTCATTGTATCCCAATACGTTGATCGATGCTCAATCCGTTGATCACTGGATTGTCTGGCCCAGACTCGATTATATACAGATCGCAGCCATATAGCTGGAATATTGGTATAGTCTGTTTGCGGTGAAAACGTACCGATGAATTTCACTTTAAACAAAAAAGTAAATCAAATAAAGTGAAATTAAGATTGCGAATGCTCATAATTTGACCTTGCCATTTGAAAATTTAAATCTCAGAATTTTATTCAATTTAGGATAAAAGTTGTTTAACAAACGATCATAGTTTCAAATCGGTATTATTGGTTTTATTACAAGGGGGGTATGCACATTAAATGAAACACCGAGAACAAGGAGGGTTGGTCGAAGTTGACGCTCATTGCGTACCGCAAGTGCATTTGTTTCACTGTTCCAACTACTTCGCTTACCCCCTTGTAATACAAACCAATATAAGCGTTTTGAAACTATGATCGTTTGTTAAACAACTTTTTTCCTAAGTGGAATAAAAATCTAAAATTTAAATGTTCAATTGGCAAGGTAGAATTATGAAGATTATAAGTGTGGCGTAAAACAACAAGCAGACAAACACTCGGTGACTTCCTCCGATGTCAAGCCGTTTGGTTTAAATGAAATACAGAGTGATGTAAACCTATTATATCATACTACGGAAACGGACATCAATCATTAAGGAGATAAACGTACTGTGTTTGGAAATTAGATGAATGTTATACCGAATTGACAGTCCCTAAATTTCATTTGAAGCCGAATGCGTATTTTTCGACTTTTAATAAATGTTTTATCAGCATTTCCATTACGTCTGTTGTGTTGATATTAGTCATGTTGGTGGCCAAGCTGAAGTAGTGCGGCAGTGTTGTATACGTTCGCAGTGAAGCGCCGTGAAATCAGGCGCATTGTCAATCCAAAATTTATACCGTCTGATTTTATTGACTGACCAATCAAATTCGAGCATTTCACGTAGCCATGGTAGAATATTCGATATTTGTACGAAACAGAAGATGTCTGCTTTCTGAAAAAGGTTATTTTAAGTAACCGAAAAAAATGTTCCATATACACTTTCAAAAGGGGGCGGTGGGGTAGCCTAGTGGTTAAAGCGTTGGCTCGTCACGCCGAAGACCCGGGTTCGAATCCCCACATGGGTACAATTTTGTGAAGCCCATTTCTGGTGTCCCCCGCCGTAATGTTGCTGGAATATTGCTAAAACCAAAACTCAGTCAGTCAGTCACTTCCAAAACTGAGCTCCATGCAACCCAGAAACCTACACGTCACATGTAACACACAAATATTAGTAAGTGTTGAAGAACGTCACAGCAAGCTACAATAGGTCAAGACTGGGCTTTGTGAGACAGGCTGCAAATAGCAAACGCGGTTAATACGGAAATGTCAGCTGTAACCTAACTCCTGAAACTGTCCAAGTCTCACGACATCTTGTGTTTTGATACCATTGATCTTCTGCGTTATTAATAAGCTTTTAAACCTACGATCAATATGCAGCAATTATCTTGACTCAAAATATGATTCAAGACGGTTTTAGTTTCAAGTTCATGAGCAATATTCTTTTTGAAGAATCGCTGAATGGATGGCGTCAAAGGGTCAGCTAAATCATTAACCGTTAAGAGAAGAGGGGGTATCAAGTTAAATTGAACAGAATGAAATTGCTTGCTTGTCGGCCAGTAAGTGTAAGTTGTAGAAATCGGGTTATCGCCGTTTACTTTGGAAATGATATTTCCCAAAGGAAACCCCGCTTATTTCAGGACCATTAAAGTCAACGTTGATATACAGCCGGACCGCCATGCATGTCTCTAGGCTGTGTTCATGACGGAATTGAGATGTTGAATCGTTGCCCGCTATGCATTGACTTCAACGACTACCACTTGGGGTATTCTGTGACAAATGTCATTTCGATTGGAAGAGTGGGATAGAATGAGTGGGCGGGCGTTAAGAAGGAAGAGAAAGACATATAGGTGTGTGTGTGTGTGTGCGTGCGTGCGTGCGTGCGTGCGTGCATGCGTGCGTGTGTGTATGTTAGTTGTGAGGGTACATGTATGGTGAGTGTTAACGGTGTGTGTTAGAGGTAGTGTGTATGGCGAAAGCCGCTGTGTGTGCGTTTGTGTGTGTGACGTAAATGTGTATTCACACGTATGTGCTTGTGTTTAAATGCGTGCGTGTGTATGCATGTGTACGTACACAGAGGAGGAGAGTATATGCGTGCGAGTGTCTCTGTCTATGTGCGTCTGTCTGTGTGTAAGTGTGTGTTTGTGTC